CACGGTGACACACAGCTGTAATCCCAGCTACGTGGGAGGTTCAAGGCCAGCGGGGCACATAGTTCCCAAGACCCCATCTCCAAAATAACCAGAGCAAAATGGACTTCAGGTGTGGCTCAAGTGGCAGAGCACCTGCTTTGCAAGCGCAAAGTTCTGAGTTCAAACCCCAGTCCCACCAAAAAAGAATATTTAAGAAGTTAAACTGAAAGGTAAAAATCGAGAAGTAGCAAGACATGAGATTGGAAAGGAGGAAATGCAAATGACTTAACAGAGAGGATGTAGAAAGTCCTCAGGACTTCTCACAGTATGCAGGGCTTACACTCGACTTACCAGACAGGGCTTACACTCGACTTACCAGACCTTAGAAGCTGCTGAGGAAGACGCAGGGCACCAGGGCACCACTGCGCAAACACTCATTCTGTCCCCACAACCAGAGATGAAACCAAGGAGACAATTCCATTCCCAGCATCACAAAAAGACAGAAGTACTGAGAAGTTACTTCAGTCACAGGGCAGCACAGCATGCCCACCTCACGGCTGCAGTGCTGAGCCACTCAAGGGAGCCTGGGAGGGAGGGTGGACACGATGGAGATGCCTTCTCCCAAAATGATACACACACAAGACCATCTCCATCAAATCCCAGCAGGCTTTGTAGGGCAGAAATTGAAAACCAATGCTAAGAGATTCATAGGGAAATGTAAAGGACCCAGAAATGCCAAAACCAACCTGAAACTCACAAACAGAAGAACACAGTGGGGATTTTATTTCCCAAACTCAAAAAAACTTGCTCTGAAGCCATAGCAAGTGAGGACACAGGAGGGTAACTGCGCCAAAATCAAGGCTCCAGAAATAAGTCCCTATGGTGACGGCCAGTTGATTTTCAGCTAGGACATCAAAGACAATCCAGAGAGGAAAGAAAAGTGTGTCAACAAACACTTTTCAGACAACTGGATATTTACATGCAAAAAATTGACAGTGGAGTTTTACGCTCCAGCCCCAAACTCCTGGGGCTCCACTCACATGTCAGGTCCAGCCAGTCACCCCATACCCTATTGGTCAAATAGAGAGCCATGGCAAAGGGCAGGGGACGAGGGCTATTACATGCACTCATCTTGAGCCATCTTTGGGGCACAGACAAGAGCAACAGGTCTGAGTAAAGGGAGAACTGCAGAGAAGCTTGCAGGATTACTACTGCCCTGGTCACAGGGGTGTCCTGGTGGCCTCGGTCCTTGCTTCGGGAAGGGTCTTGAGGTGTTATTATCGCACATCACACAGGTGTCCTTTCCTGAGGAGGCCCGCCTTTCCTCAGGGAGAGTTTCTGTCCTTTGTCCTAGACATGCTATCCATCGGTCCTGCCCTTCCTGGAGCCCAAGATGATTGCAAAGTGACTGGAGAGGGAGTGGCTCAAAGCAAAGACAGAGGTGCCAAGCTGTTCTCATGCTTTTAGTCAATTCCGGGGCCGAAGTGAGGAGTGCATGCTTCCCAGCAAAAGCAGTTTAAAACGCCTGTCAGAAAAGGTAATCTAGGCCTTCACCTCACACTACAGCAGAAATGCTCTCAAAATCAACCAGTAGAAGAAAAACAGCAGCACCCTGATTCACAACCAGGAGTTCAAAGGCATTTTTAAGGTCCTGAGGAAAATCTGCACTTGAACTCAGTGTTAGAGTGCAGAAACAACACCTTGGGCCTCACATGAGGGTACACCTGTCGTCACAGCCCAGGGGAGGCAGAGGCAGGAGGATCAGGAAATGGAGGCCAGCCTGGGCTGTGCAGGGAATCCTGTCTCAAAGAAAACAAGAGCCACCACGAACGCCACGCGTTGGGGAAAGGTCTGGCAGTTAGACAGGAGAGCGCATGCACGCTGTAGAGGTGCAGAGAGAGGTACAGGAAAGTGCCAGGAGATACTGACTTCAGACAGCATGAAGAACAGGTGTGCACAGACGGGCTCCTGACTCCAGTTTCCTCCGTGTGAAGAACGTTTGAATGAAGGATTTGTGTGAACAGCTCCCCTCACTGTTCACCTGCCCAGGGCCAAGGGCTGGCCAGGGTCCTCAGGACACCCATGGGGCAGGGCCCGAATTCCCCTCATCCCTACAGATGAGGGGAAGTACCCGTGAATCCACAGGTACTTCAGGGAGAAGCCAACAAGTCTGCCAAGGTTTTTCATTTCGAGAAACTTCTTCGCAAAGCTGCCACAGTGCACATGGGAGGTTGCCCCCAGCCCTTCCCTATCTTGTGAGTGGGGTCTTAGTCTAGAGTGGTGGGGGAAGGGGGACACAGGACAAAAGAAGAGCAATGGGGGAGGGGGTGAATGGCTGGCCATGGAAGAGGCAGCTGGGAAGGTCTGGAAGGGCAGGGGGATGGAGGATGGGGACAGAGGGTCAGACAGAGCCTGGCTTCCCTGGCCCACCTCCCATCCACCCCTCCCCTGCCCTTATTAATGCCAGACAGTTAGTGAGAAAGCCAGAGGGCAGGAGGGGCCAGATGGACACAGAAAACAGTGAGTGAGCAGCTCCATCAAAGACCATGGCAGAGGGCACCTGGCCAGTAACCTGTACCCTCGCCAAGTCTCCTGTCACACTACTCCGTCCCATGACCCAAACCTTCCAGATTTAAACTCAGCTTCTCCTGGACAGATCCAAGCCCCCAGGTTGGAAAGATGGAGACAGAGCTGTGTATTTAGCCATTTTTAATTGTTAGCAGGTTAACTGAGAGAAAATTCAAAGCCTTTCAATGTCAGCAAGGCTGCTCGGGGGACAAATCTGAGGCTGAGGTCCCCTGGTCCCTCGGCACCCTCAGCACGAGGACAGCAGTGATGACAGGACCACGGTCAGGTCAGGTTTTAATCCAAACAATGGAAAGGACATATTGGGGTCTGGGTGTGTGATGAGGGGGAAACAGCAGGCAGGAAAGGGGTACAGGAGGGAGAGAGAACCAGAAAACACCAAGCCAAGGATCCTGGAGCATCTCAGGAGCCAGAAGGCAACAGGGAACTCACCAGTCTACCAGCTGTGTCCCAGTGAACACCAACTCACGGCTGAAATCCCTTCCTTCCCTGGAAGCATTTGTGGGTAACAGGCAAAGGCAGAAACACCCCAAAATGTCCACCACCAACAAGGCATTAGCAAGACACAGCAAATGCACATGAAAAAATCCCACAACTGTGGAATGCCCTGACCTGGCTCCAGCAGGGGCGGCTTTGAAAACACCAGGTGAGAGGCCATGGGCACAGGAGAGGAGAGCAGGGGCTGGGGCCAGTGGGCAGGAGAGGGGACTCTAGCAGAGGCTGGGGGCCGGTGGGCAGTGGAGGGGACAGAGCTTCTTTCCAAAGGGAGGGAGGAAAATGGTCTGAAATCAGCCCTGGAGAAACTTGTGCAATTCTGCAAACCCACTGGAAACTCGTCTTCACACTCTCAGCTGTGTGGAATATTTTCAATAATGCTGTAAAGATAAACTTGAAGCAAGTGCATGATAGAAACCCTCTTTTCCTTGCCCTGCCACAGACAGGAGCTTCTCTCTTGTTGTTTTCTGGTTTTAAGAACAGCATCGGGAGGCAAAGCAGAGCATTACACAGAAGGAAGTTAACCAAACGCCCCCAAAAGCAGTGAGAAGAGTGACAGCTGGAGACAGGGATGACATGGGCTTGCACTTGCTGGGTGGGCGAGGCCACTTTAGCCACCCAGCCCCAAAACCCTTTAACCTATGTGTCCCCAACCACATCCTGGGGATCAGGGTGACATTTCTCTATGTGGCCAAAGGCCACTAGCTCTCCCCACAGCTTCCTCAAAGCACTGACAGGCCACAGGCCACCTGCTTCTCTGTGACAGCACTGTGCCACATGGCTCTTGACTTGGAGGCAACCTCTTTGAACGACCTCCTCAGAGACTGATTTTTACAAACTAGATTTTCAGTTTCAAAAACTGTGGTTTACAAAATCCAAAAACTTTCCACACCAGTTTCTACTGGACATCATAAAAAGGAAAACTGTAATTCCTTTGTTGTTTGTTTTTGAGACAGGGTCTCAGTGCACAGCCCAGACTAGACTTAAACTTGCCATCCTTCTGCTTCAGCCTCCTGAGTGCTGGGATTAAAGGTGTGCACCACCACACCCAGCATACAAAACCGTAATTCTTTCTTTAAAACCTAGAACTGGGAATCAGACAAGTCACTTTCCTCCCTGGGTCTGTGTTTCCTCATCTGTAAATGAGAAGGCCTGAAACAATCCCCGTTCTGTCTGTCCATCAGTCATGAGAAGAACTACAGCAATGTTGTGCTATGCAGATGAGATGGGGGAGACGTCCAGGACCCCCTACAGATAAAAACGTCACCTGGAAGGGCAGAGCTCACACATAACCCACACATCCTCCCAGTGCTTGGGTCACCTCCAGGTTACTTACAATACCCCATCTATGTCAATAGTTCGGTAGTTTAGGGAACCATGACAAAAACATGAGTCTGTGTTTCCTACAGACATAATGCTTTTTTTTTTCTGGCAATATTTCCAAACATGCCTGCTAGAATCATGGATGCTTGACTTGGGCAAACCTGCAAATTGCCTCAAAACTCGAGAGTCAAATTGACTTGTTTCCCAACAGGTTTTTGACAAGCTGTGCACAACTGCCATGCGGCACGCAGTCAGAAGAACCTCGCTCGCTGCGTGAGATTCCCATTGTCCAGCCCTAGCTCTGAGGACACAAAGCCTGGGGACCGTGTGCACAGACTACTGCAGCACCCTCTACATCCTGAAGGACAGGCACCCAGGGGGATGGACACCAGTGATCAAGTACCCAGGGGGACACACACCCAGGAGACAGGCACCCAGGGGGACAGACAGGCACCCAGGGGGACAGGCAGCCAAGGGAAACAAGTACCCAGGAGGACAGGCAATCAGGGGACAGGGATCCAGGGGGACAGGTATTCAGGGAATGGAGAGGTACCCAGGGGACAGGCACCTAGGGGGACCAGCACCCAGAGGACAGGCATGGGGATGGCAGAACTCACCGATCTTCTGGTTGAAGATCTTGTCAAAGGTGACCTCGTTCCTCTCCTCCAGATACTTCTGCATCACACTCCGGATGCTGAAAGACAAGAGCGGGGTATTCTGAACAGGTGACTCATTGTGAGTGACCCTGCCCAGAGGGACACTGGATGGACACCTGCACACAGGACATCACTTTATGAGGCCCCTCCTACTGCTGCCCTTCAGGACCTCAAGAAAGCACTGAGTGGACCAGCAGCCACGGGCTCACAGTCCACCCTCCACCTTCTCCTGGACCCAGGCCCACTCTACATGTAGAGACGCAACTACACAACTTCCCTTAAGGGCCTCAAAGCCACCCTCCATCCCACCACAGGTTTAATGTGCACGAGTGCTTGTTCACACACCACAGACCCCACACATGATCCCATACGTGCACACGTTCACCCAGTAAATTCATCAGTCAGCCTCTTTTAAGACAAAAGCAAAAGCTTCCCAGACCTGTGGTTCTGAAACTGCACCTCCATACACCAACAACCAGAAGGAATGTCAGGCGATAAATGAAAAGTTCCAAGTGCTTTAAAGTTAGGCTTTCAAAGCGTGCAAGACCTTCATGAGGAAAGACAAACTGTCGACCATAATTAAGAACTATCTGATCAAAGGCAAAGACACACCACCATCATGGTCAGAAGGATGAAACGTGGTAGGAATTCACTGTCTACCAAGGTGAACATAAACCCATGTCATCCCCATCAAGGTCCCAACAGGAACTGTCACAGAAAGCAGAGATGAGCAGCTTTCATTTCTATAAAACAACACGGGATCGGTGTGCCTCTGAAGAAAGACAGTGAGACCCGGGCTGACCGTGAACATGGCCACTGCGATGAGAAACAAACGATGGATGAACGGAGCTCCGAGCCTGTGAGCTGAGCCCCACGTACCCTGACTGTGACATGTGACAGAAGCAGCGAGACAGGAAGATGGAAAGGCACTAAGTCAGCCTGCGTGAGCTGGGGCATAGTTCAATGGTAGAACACCTGCCTAGCAAGCCAAGGCCCTGAGTTCAAACCCCACTACCTCTGAAAAAATGGACTAGGTAGAAAATTGAATCTTTCACCCCCTGAAACTGGGAGTGGACAATCCAGCATTCCTTTTTAACCTTTTAAAACAAACTAATTAGGTGCTATTGTTTATAACTAAATGTGCATCTTAGACACTTATACCCTTGTAACTTCTTACCTCGACGTACAGATTAAATTTTCTGTCACTCCCAGAAGTGGCAGCCCATTTGTGACAACGTCCCCCTCGTCTGGAATCCGGGCCACCGCCGGCTTCTTCGTGTCACTCACAGCCCTGCTCTGCAGTGTACTGCCATCTGAGTGTGGCTTCTTTCTTGCCATAGTGGACTCTGTCCATCCTGCTTGAGTATTGGTGTGTGGCTCCTTTCCAGGGCAAGTGGCAAGCCACTGTGTGAATTCTCTACAACGTGTTTATTACACAGTGTCCTTTCCAGTTGGGGCTATTGTGACTAAGGTGCGTTAAGAACCTGAGTTATCTTATGGCAAACCCCAAAAGCTTGACTCACTGGCTGGGTGGTCACTGTGACCCTCACACAGTGAAGAGCTGACTTCTGACAGCACTGCCACCATAGTTCCCACGACCAGGAGGGTCACTGTACTCAGGAGGCCAACAATGGGCTGTGGTCACTGTCATTTTCAGCCATTCTGGGTGCACATCTGATCTGATCTGTATTTGCATCCTCAGCTCCCTAGTGAACATGGCAGCGAGCACTTTTGTGAAGTTACTGGACTCCGTGTACCTCCTCAGTGAAGTGTGTCCTCACGCCCTCTGCCCCGCTGTACGGCTTCTTCACGCAGCCGGGAAATGAGTTCAGGGTCAAGTTCTCGTGTTCCCTCGCACTTGGCTTCTTATCTTGTCATTTGCTTCACGTGTCCTTCCAAGAGCAGATGTGCTGGCTGATGACTTCCGGTGCAGATTCCTGCCGTGACGGAGTCTGTGCTAAGAGCTTTTCCACACCCCGAGGCCGCGAACGTTCCAGTCTACAGTTTCCTTTGGAAGTTTGCAGGTTTTAGCATTCACGTTCAGGTCTCATCTCCCTCTCAGGCTAGTTTTGTGCTCAGTGTAAGGCAAACCAAAGCCCTTGCTTCCTCCTCATCCTACACAGGGTCCCTTCTCGAAAACCTTCCTTTCTCTATGGGTCATCTTGATACTGTGCTGACCCAATGCTAAGTGCGTGTGGGTCTGTCTTTCCTGTCCTGCTGTCTGTCTCTCATGACATAAACACCCCACACTGGCTTAATTGCTCCTTCTCTGACTTAAGCAGACCAGTGAACTGAAATATGCCTAATATGGCATTCCCGGTGGCCCTGGTTTAATTTTGTCTCATAGACAGTGACAACGACACTCCATTTTTGCCTTTTGATTCCGATTCTTTTCTAATTTTCCTTGAGCTTTGTCCCTCAACCTACAAGTGACTCCGGGTGGTGTTGCTTCATCAGCAGAGTCTGGGTCGTATGGAGCCGTTGAACTTGCACTCAGTTCCTTGATGGCCAGGGAGCACACGCTGAAAGACAGCACAGGTTTTGTTCCACTGCCTGGATGCGGTTCTCTGTGGTGCACTGTTGTCGGACTCACTGACCTGTCCCAGTCAAAGGGGCCACCGATCAAGAGCGTCACTTAGGTTTCCCTTGTTGTGACTGATTCCCCACTTTTCCAGAATTTCTGAGAGCGGAGTGCTGGTCTCACGCTGCATCTGTGGGTCTGTGTCTCCTTTGGTCACCGTGTCCCCTGCTGCGCAGCTCTGTGCGCTGTGAACGTGTGAGGCAACAACCCCTCACCTGCTTGCACTCAGGGGTCCCGCCAGCTCTCTGGCAGTGTTGACGTGGCATCATCCGTCTTTAAGCTCCCATTTAAAGCTCTGGCTCACGGTGCGCAGCTGGACCTTGCTTCCCATCCTGTCTGACAACCTCTGCCTCCAAACACTCCACATCTCGTGTGACAACAAATATTCAGATCTACGTCCATCGCTCCACCACTGGCTTGTGTTTTCACCAGCTCTTTTCATGGCTTTCTGGAGCGAGGTACACAATGACCCTCAGGTCAAAACTTCCTCTGTGCCCAACCGCGACCTGTCCCTGTTCCCCACAGGAGCATCTGTCTGCTGAGTCCCCTCTGCTTCCACCTTTTCTGGAAATTCCACAGAGGCAGAGCCATGCAGAATACAGTGTTTCACACTGGCTGTCACACACCAGTATCTGCAAAGGGGATACCCCTTCTTTCACCCACATGCTGGTCGCCGAATGTTGGACTGTTCCCTGCATGGAGCTGATGCCAGCAATGTCATCATGACCAGTCACCTGTAAGTCTTGGGATGCTCATGTCTAGGAATTAAGACCACCAGATGACAACTGCATTTTTAGTATTTTAGGACACTGAGAAATCACCTTCTGGGGTGAGGACCATCAGCAGGACAGGGCAGATCAGTTTCTCTGTGTCCGAGATCCTTGCTGTTTTCTGCCGGTTACTTCAGCCACTCTCCGTGGCAGGAAGGACACATCAGAGTGGCTTTAGTCTCCACTTCCCCACGAGTGATGCACTAAGCAACTTTTCTATGTGCTCATTTACCATTTTCACATCTTCTTTAGTAAAAATGTCTGCTCATAATTTGCCCATTCTGAGGCCCAGCCCTGTGTTTCATCGGAGGAGTCTTTGTATGTTCTGGATGCAAGGTACTTCTGCATGTGTGATTTTGAAGTATTTTCTCAGAGTCTATAACCTGCCTTGCACTTGCTTGGCGCTGTTTTTCAAGGGCTGGCAATATGGAAATGTGATTTAGCTCACTTTATTGGTGTCTTCCTTCTATGCTTTGTGTGTGTCACAGCTAAGAAATGATGGCTGACTCCAAGACCACAAAGATTTTCCAGTGGGTCCCCTGCTAGAAATGCCACAGGCTTCACTCTTGAACATAGGGTGGGAGGTGAACGTGGAGGTTTCTGTTGGCTTTTGCCTTGGTGTATGCACATCCAGCACCATTTCCTGAAGCGCTCGCTCCTTCCCGCTGAATCGACTCCCTTTGCACCTTTTCAACCAGCTGACCTGAGCTCACTTGAGCTGGGCCCAGCTGGTGTCACAGAGCCAAGGATTGCTAATGGAAAAGGACATAGTCTGTGAGCCCATCGTCCTCCCATGGTTCCACGGGTATAGACAAAACTTACCAAGTACACACTGAAACGTGGGCATTCTGTGTCATTCAACATGCATGTGGCAGATATGAACACTGAACCTCAAGGGACGTTTGATTTTCTTTCCTTTATTTTAATTACATCACCAAGTTGCCATCGGCAAAATTCTGTTTGTGGAAAAGTATTAAAGATGCTTCTTTACTGAACATCTCGAGGGGGTACAAGGAAGGCAATAAAACTGTAGGTCAAAGGACTTAAAGACAGGAGGCAGCAGTCAGGAGGTTCAAGGTCCAAGGCCAATCCCAGCAATGAGACCCTATCTCGAAAATACTCAACACAAAAAAGGGCTGGTGGAGTAGATCAAGGTGTAAGCCCTAAGTTCAAACCCCAGTACTGAAAAAAAAAAGTCACATAGAAAAGTCACCCTCAGACAGACACTGTTTGAAGGATGAGCTATCTGTTACATAATTAAAGACACTGAAGGTTTGCAGTGCAGCCATGGCCTGAGATGGCTGCAAGAGTGGTTTTAGAATTCTTCCGCCTTTATCAAGCCCTTGTAAATGAGTACCATGCACAGCCATGCTGTTGGCAGAGAAGAGAGAAGCAGAAAGAGGGTGGGCAGAACGGGCATGGACCGGCCTTGCTTCCAAGAGTGACCACTCAAGAATTCCGTGCTCACTCCCAGCCCACGGCCCAGCAGCTGCATCTCAGCCACAGCCACCTTCTCCCCAGTGGCCACACTTGACCTTTTCACTCTCCACAAAAGAAAATGGCTCTTCCAACTCTGTGCCATCCTGCACCTGACACTTTCTCCTGTGCCTTTTCTTCCTTCATTTTCCTTCTTTCCGCCCTCCCTCCCTTTCTTCTTTCTTCCTCGTGAAAATCTCATGTTTACCCT